GGGGGGGTCAGGAAAACACCACATCTCTGCTAAATAGGACAATTACCTTTCTGGCTTCATAGCTACAGGAAGCAATGTCAGCCATGGAGTGGAAGGTTTGAGCAGATGTAGCGCCCGCTGGGATGAGCTTGTCATACTCTGGCCGACCTCCATTTGTCTCTTCTTCTACACAGTGCAAGAACAAAAGTAATATATAGGTTTGTCTTTTTTTTTCTTCCCAAACTATTTCTATTATTACAAATAGACACATATTAACATATATTGGTACATTGTCTTTGGAAAATGTGAAAACACAGATAGAAATAACAGAACATTTGAGAGAGGCAAAGTGTAACATTTTCTACACAATTTAGACAAAATAATATCTCTTGTTTACTCTTGAAAATACTAAGATCAAAAAAAAAAAGAAAAAGAAAGATGATTTTCTTGTGGTTATCCATCCAGCAACTCATCTGCTTTCACCGTTTCTTATTATGCCACGATGGATACCTGGAAATTCATGTTAGTACCTGAGAGGCATATTTTCCATGGACGCCAATTCAAGCAGATAGAGGAAAGATATTAAGTAGAAGCATGCAAGCTCAACTGACTTTTGGATCGGAAACTTAAAAGTACGTAAGTATTGCACATTTTTGTTGTCAGCCCTCAGAGAGAAGAAAATAGAACCTGCTTTTCATGTGTGCTAAAGCAGTCCTACAAATTACTCTGTGACTGAAAAAGAAAAAGGAGTTTTTCTCAGAATCCTTTCTAAAAAATGGAGTTTACAGGAAAAAATTGGAGAACTCCACAACCCGAGTTAATGAAGCTTACGTTTCAAGTCATCCATGGCAAATAAATTTTGGCATCGCAAATAATACAATACCCACAAATTAAATAAACACAAATAAAATGTGTATTTTCATGTTACTTATGATAAATTGTGCACAAATATCAAATAAACCTGTGTACTTTCACCTAATTTACAATATATTGTGCATGACTGATAGAAACACAATTCGAGAGGAAAAATTGGATTTTATGCAAATCTGATCAGGGTTCTTTGACAAGAAAAACAAACAATTAAGAGCTCTGATTTTATCGGAGTACATAGAAGGTCTGATGAAGCATAGAAAAAAGATGCCGTGATAAACATGGGTCTACCTTCAGAGCAAGAGGGAAATATAATCCACCTTTTATATGTGGTAAAGCATAGAGTACATTTAAATCTACAACACATAATTTATGTCCTGCCTCAAAGCAAGAGAGCAATAAAACTTACTCTTTATACATGGTAGAGCGTGGAGTAAAATAAAGTTTCTGCAAACCTGGGTCTGTCCTCAGAGCAAGATGGAAACAGAACATACTTCTCATACAATGTAAGGCATGAAGTAAATCCTAAATCCTTAAAGCAAGAGTGAAATAGGACCTGCACCTTACACATGATGGAGCATACAATAAAATAAAAATCATAACAATAATAATAATAATAATAATAATAATAATAATAACAACAATGGCATCTTTAAGCGCATGTTCACACTCCACAGCATGCTGCTCTATATGCTTTACACCTGTTATCACTCCAGTAGACCTTTCCAGGAAGCAAACAGTGCCAGCTGCGGATTTCACTGGCCCAAACACAAACAACCTGACAAAATCTTTTGCTGTCAATAGCCAGGTACCCATTCCCGCATAGATAAAGTGAGGAAAATTTGAGTAAATTGACTTTCCCAGGGACACAATATCGGGCACCTGGCAGGTTATGAACCTACAACCTATCCGTTGTGAGTCCGAGGGCCTAACTTGGCCACCAACGTAAGAGCAAAACAGAAACTGCTCCCCCCCCCCATGTGGTAGACCATGGGGTAAAATAAAACTCTGACGTACCTGGGTCAAGCTCACTGTCACTTGGGACTCGCTCACTGGACGTGGAGCTGCCGGGATCTCTCTTCTTCTTCCACTCACTTCTTTCCCAGGCCAGGTCAGACCCTGGGTTCTCTCTGCCCCCTTGACCCCTGGAGTGGGTCACAGCCACAGGTTTACCTGGTGCACACACAGAGGAAATTTGAAGGATTTTCATCTCATCCTTTTGGAGGAAGACAGAAACTAGAAAGTCCCGTCTCTCTTTTCAATAAGTTATCTCTGTCAAAACCATGAAAGATCATCTCATCTTAGTTAAATCAGACTGGTTTTTTTTATCTCCCGCCACAAAAAACACCATCAAGAAACCAGTTACACGGTCAAAGCAAAACACTACTGCAGAGATGCCAACCACAGCAAACCGAAATGAGTATTGGGAAATATGAAAATGTGCATTTTCAGGGGAAAATGTGTATTCCCCACAACCGACCGACAACTAGTAAAATGTTCAGGGTGTCCAGCAATATTTCCTGAAAAAAAATTACTAGCTCACCAGCTCGAAAAAGGGAGCACACATGCGTACAATATACACGTATTCAGTCAACAACATGTCAGAGTTCAATGTCATACTGGGGTCTTGTTTGACTTAAGTATTTCAGTCTATTATATAATATTTTCCTCTCATTATTATATTTTTAAAAAAATCCTGCTTTGAGAGTTTGGAAGGGCCGAGAACAAGAATTTCTACTATCAAGAACCAGTCTGGGTGTCATGATTCATGTCATGAACTGACAGACTCAAATTATTGCTCAAACTCAGAGAAAAGCAATAACTTGAAAGGCTAAAGTAGACCCATGCACTGTGAAGAGTTGTAACTACTGTGGTTGGGCAAGATGCAGTGACACTGAAAATCTGCTAGTCTTGAACAGAAAGCTACAACATACACTGTAGGTACAATTTACTATCACCCATCCAATGAGACGCAAAAACTTTATTTCAATAACACAGACTTCCAAAGTATGAGGGGTCCCGATTCCGCACATGGCCTGCACCAACGCGCGTTTTGCAGAAAGCTCTAATCAAAATTCTGAAATGTGCTTCCCAGTTTTTGTCCTCTGGTGTTGCCTTAACCCCCCCCCCCTTTCGATAGTATCTTAAACCCCCAAAAAATCAATAATCTCCTACCCTATTCCGTAGTCCTATAGTTCGCAACGCCGTTACTCCCACCAAAGACGGTATTTACTCACACTATGAAGCATTTATTTATGATGCGAATACGTGCAGGTTCAGTGACCGGTCATGATGGCGAGCCAGACAATCTAAATATCGGACGACGGTCGACGCTGGTATTTTCTTTTCTTTTTTTTCCACAAGTAACAGCACAGCGATCGAGCCTCGGTGTCATATATGCTTCCATCTGCCGCCATAGACCTAGCTGCCTATTCGCGTGAAAGTGAAATGTACTCTCCGGATGGGGAAACGCTGAATGAATAATATAATATCACGATCGCGACCGGCAAAAATGAACTTACTGACCACATCGGACTTGGTTTTCAAATATTCCAATTCTGCGATACTGATACTATTTTGACAAAAGATGGGAATTGAGATTAGGATTACTCGCCCAAGCTGAATCTCGGATTTTTCGCATTCCACGATGCGCATTTTTTCATGAAATGTCGTATTCGCGTATTTTCGGCAAAAAATCGTACTAAAATACGTAAAATCGTACTGGTTGGCATCTCTGCTTCTGGTATGCATTTCACCAAAGCACTCACTTACCCCTAAGGTCAGGACGAGCCAGTAATCCGACAGATACAAAGAAACAATCCATATCCAGATGGATGATGACCCTCTCACTCTTCCTTCTCTGAGCAGACGTGGATACAACATCCCCTAGATTCTGCTTTGACAGATTTTCTTCGTGCAGCTGTCGCAGTCTGTCTCGACCAGGAAAAGAGGTCACTCCGGACTTTTGTATTTCAGCCACATAGGCCTTGAACTCTGAACCCCAGGTGGAGATGTGGTGGAGTCGAGAGTTGGAGTAAAACTCTGACAGGAAGTTCTTCTCACCAGCCCTGGACATAGTGCGGGATGATGGGGAACCACTGGCCTTTTGTTTTTCAGCAGATTTTGAAGGTGACGATTCTGCTGTTGAAGTTGGAACAGTTGATTCTATGACTGAATTTGATGAAATAGTTGCAGTAGATGTTGATGCTGCAGATGCTGTCGTTCCTATGGTGACAGGCTTCCCTTGGTCTGAGTTTGATGCCAACAAAGTGGTAGGTCTTACTGTTGTGCTGACCACGGAGATCCCGTTTGAGGTTGATGTCTGAGTAAGAGATACTGTTTGCAGGTCCCTCTCAGGAGGGTCTGCTTCATCCACGTCATGGGTCAGTCCTGCAGCAGACCATAACGGTGCACTTGGAGCTACAGGCAAAGCGCTGCTGTGTTCAGTGACTGCTGCCTCTCCAAAGTTTACAGCCACTGGTAATGACGTCGAGCCGACTTCTGACATCTGCTGTTGGGGTATTAAAAGTGATGCTGATTCAATCTCACCAATTGTCTTTGATTTTCCTTTGAAGCCACTGGCAGACACTTTCTGTGTGGGAGTGTCTCCATCCTTCTTGAGCTTAAGTTTAACATCATCATTTACACTGGTCTTGGTCTGGAGTTCGTTAGTATGCGGTAAAGTCTTCTCCATATCTACAGTGGAAACATCAGTGGACACTTGAAGGCTCTGACCTAGAACTACACTTTGCATCTTCTCACTTTGAAATTTTCTGGTGTCATCTTTCTTCGGTGAATTGATACTACCAGAACTACCTTTTCTGATCTTGTACACACGAGACTTCCTCCTTTCTTCATTTGGTCTGTCATATTTTTGTGGAGAGGGAGCATGAGTGAAAATTTCACAACTCCCTTCCTCATCGTCTTCTGAATTGAGAACAATATCATCATCATCTTCATCAATAGAGGTAGTCTGTTTTAAGGCTTTGTCACAATTGTTGTCATTGTTACTGACATTTGGAGATCTACTCCTGTTTGATAAATCAACAGCTGGGGACACAACCCCCTGCTCTCCAGAGGGACTGCCTGCTTCACTTCTATCCCCTGTGTGAAAATTATGAGGATAAACAGCAATGTTGGCTTTAGGCTCGTCTTGTCCCGGCACATCTTTTTCCGTTGTCTGCCTGGATGTGCTGAGTGCGTTGGCCAGTAAAGCCTCATGAGAACTATCTTGACCTGCAGCAGAGATGCTTGCACTGTCTAAACAGTCATGTGACTTAATTGATGTCAGACGTGTCATATCATAGTTGGTGGAAGAAGCCGAGGAAGAAGAGCGAGAAAGCGTGGTTATGGAAGACATGGACTTGAGACCTGGCTGGAGAGACGACTGGCTGCCGAGCAGTAGGTATGGGACATGAGACAGACGTCTGCCAGCAGACACACTGGGGAGAAAACAAAAATTTTTTCTTGGCTAAAAAAAGCAGACATACAAAGACACAAACAATAAAACACAGGAGTGAACCTACATCTATATGTGTTGAGCACAAGCCCTCAATAATCACTTCTTCAACACTCAATCTCAAAGAAATATCTCTCCAACAAGATTGTGCAGGAGGCCACTTCCCCATTACTGCTCGACTACCATTGAGTTTCACATTTACAGGCCAACACCCAGCCTGAAAGTAGAGACTTGTGATTTCATCACAGGATAAGAAGTGCAAGTATTTTTCATCATCATTAGACTGCACTGAACTTAAAATGGGCGTACAGAAATGAAGTCGACATAAAAGTATAAAAAACAACATTCAAATTCGTGACTGTGGGAGCAGGATGCCAAACATTTCAATCAACAGAACGTATAACAAAATGCTGAAAATATTTTTGTTTGGTGTAAATTATACATGATATATACCTGTCCACAATCCAGTCTGGTTTGACAACTGGAGTCAGCTTTGCAAGATGGAATTTACTGTTAGGCAAGTTGCTGGCTATGATGTGTGTGACTTTCCTCTTGCTGAGGTACATTTGGTACACACCACCATGTGCTCTCATCAATCGCTTTAGCTCATCTGATGAGGGGGCTTAGGACAAAGGATATGGAAAGCAGAAAAGATAAAGCTGAAATTAAATTTTACAAAAATTCAATCTATGCTATTTAGACAAGAGATAAGAGGCATCTTTATTGTCCAGATCCAGGAATATTGGTTTGGTGTTTCACCACGCACGCACACACGCAAACACATGCGCATGTGCACACCCATACATACAGTTTCTCACTCTCATCCTCTCTTCCACACATAACCATAATAATATAATGCACTCCCAAACAGGCTCACAGTAACAGGCATTATAGTATAAATGAACAGCAATTATAAACATAAAGTGTTAAGCTGGATACGTACTCAGTATTCTGATTGTAATTAAGTGGTATTCTGATATTGCAAGCTTTAAAGGTCATAGGAATACTTATCTCAAGATGACTAAGACAGTATAAGTTTAATGGATGATGACAAGAATGACCTTCTGTCTCATTCTTTGCTATACATTAGAAGCCTAGGTCTTTTACTTCTGATTGATATTTCTATTTGAGAGAACAAGGGATGTTTACTGTCCAAAAAGATGGAATTATTTTTTTTACAACAAGCCATAATGTATAATTAATCGAAGTAGGGGAATGTAGATGTTGAAATTTTGCTTGCTTTTCGTATGGACTGATTCCATTTTTCATTATCTTGTGATCCTGGCTCATGCTGTAATACAGAAACTGATCATACTTTCTATGGTTGAATGACAGAATATGGACATAAATGATTTATCGACTTTATAATACATGAGCTTCCTCAGAAAAAAAAAGGTCTTTTGTTCACTTTTTTTATGCAGAAGAGAAGTGTGGACATGCCAGTCGAGTTTTTTGTCTATTGTAACATCAAATACTTATAATCTTGCCTCTGTGTAACTTCAGTATAGTTCCTTTTTTGGAAAGGTAAAGTAAGTAAATCCACAGATCTAGGAAGGTTTGATAAATTAGATCAATGAATATGATATCATTTGCATCAATCTACTTACTTGTGTAACCATTGACATATATAGAAACACCGGCAAATATTCCACTTTCTGTTTTTTGATTCGCTCCACGAAATTGATCACTCAGTTTCTGTTTCTTTATGTCCATGTAATTCCCCTGAAAACATACAAACAAAAAATCCAAATTAAAAAAAAAAGAATTCAAGTGTCTTTATATACAATATTTGACCTTTTGGACATGGGAAAAAACATTTCTGTTCTACTTTTTCCTGTCAGTCCTTTTTCCAGTGCACATATATGTAAGATGGAAATTGGCCTAAGGGAAAATCTCTTCGCTTTACCCAGTGACAAACTTTGCATATTTTGAACCTGTATGAGACAGACAGCAGATCTATGCAGAGGCAGAATAAAGCATTGTCCTCCTCAGGAAAATAAACATGTCAGAATAACAACATTTTGTTTAAATTTCGACTTGAAGCAGTTGATGTTTAACTTCAATTACCACATAATAACTGAACAATCTGCTGCAGGTGGTTAAATATCTCAGATATTTTCTTTGACAATGAAGAAAGTCAAGGGTATCCCTTGGGAACGAAGCTCGATTTCCTCCAAATACCCAGTCTTATGTGATTCAAACCTCTCTCCAATCTGATCACTATAGAGATTAGTGTGAAGCATTCTCTGTTCTTCTGAAATGAGTTCTCAGAATTGAAATAGAATATTTATTATCTTTTTATAACTTACTATGATGCATAACATGGAGAGGGAGTGTTACATATGTTCTCTTTACAGAGATATATTTAAATAGCACTGAGCATACAACAGCACAGGCACTTACAGGCAACTTCGAGGGTTCACGTAGACTGAGAAAATTGAAGCAAAAGAATTTTCAGAGAATTTTAGAACTGTTGGTGAATCAGGGAGCCGTGCAAAGAGCGATGATTTGGGGAATGGACAAGAGCCTCTGCCTTTTTTCTCAGATAAATTCAGTAGCAGAAAAATAATAAAATGGCTCGGACAGATACAAATATCCCTGTCTGAGAAACTGTTGTAAAAGAAAGGTCTTTTGTGATTCCAATAACCTGATGCTTATTGTTCTTCTTACCCTTTACCATTGGATGAATTCTTTTCACCAAAGCCTGTTCCCTGTTATGTAAGTTGTAAGGATAAACTGTTCTCTCACTTTCTTACAAGTCAGAGTCAGGCCAAATGAATTCAGCAAAGGATACAATCTTTCCACCCTTGCCATTTGTACTACCACTAGCATCCATGATGCAAAACCCATTCATTCAGAATATGCAAATTGGTTTGTCTACTCTTTAAGGGGTAAATTTTATCTAAAATAAGGCTGGGACAGCTTCAACTTCAAATGACATCACAGGTCTATCACTTTGACTATCAGTCTCAGTCATGGCAAATCAGGAATCACTTCCATTGACTTTATTTCATTTAAATTTTTAACAAAACAACATCAACAATGACTACTTACAAAACCACCCCAGTCATCATCATTTACTCCCCTGCCTCTCTTGGAGCTGCCACGGCCTGATCTACCACTCTGACGAGAAGATCCAGGTGGTGGAGGCACATTTTTGGCCATGGTGGTGCGCAGCAGTTTGAAACTTTCTCATCAACCTGGCCTGATGGAACAAAACAAAAAAGTAATAAAATGAATGTTAAAGGATGACCTCATATGACATATATAAGCTAAACCCCCTTCCCTAACCTTATAGAAGCCACATATGGCCTATATAAGCTAAACCCCTCTACCTAGCCATATTTAGGCCACATATGGCCCATATAAGCTAGCCCCCCCCACCTGGCCTTATTTTGTGTTTGTGTAAGGTGTGTAATTGAGTGCGTGAGTGTCTATCTGAGTTGTAAGGTCCAAACTTACATCAATTTGTTGGGAATTTTACATAGAATGTACACAACTACAAAACAGCTCTTTACAAAGTCACAGACATATTTTTTTGGTACTTATAGAGGTACAGGGTGATTTAAAATAATCACCCACAAGGATAACTGGACAAAATGGGAAATATCTTTACTGCTAATGGTCATAGTCATATTCAGACAAATCCTACATCATTCTCTTTGTTTTTCTTATTTAACTGCTCATAATTATTAAAGAGTAGGTGAACTAGGTGGTAATTTCTTACTTTTATGCGCATTCTTAAAATTTTAAAACTTGTTTTTAGCGCTTTTATCAACATAATACTGATTCAGTTAAAAACCTGATGACCATAAGTCAGCTCCTTATCCTTCTTTTTCAAAGCATTGTGCATATACATATTTACATGTGAAACTATATCTTATGTTTTCAAGTACATACATATAAAATGCTTATTCAGTCAAGCAAAATGTTCTTCTTAGACATAGTTTAGACATAGTAGTAGGTCCACTGGAACATTTAATAAACCGCGGAAAGATGACCAGAAAATAACAAAATCATCTTCTGATCTTCATTTGCACTTCCAAATTTGTGACAAATTACAGTCTACCTCATTATCTTATTTTTTCACACATGATATTTCTTCACTATTCATGACAACTATTTTTTTCAGTTATTATCAATTAGTAATTTCTATTGATTAGCACAATTTTAAAACATATTGAGTCAGAGACTCGCTGTCTAAAATGTCCAATGATAATGCAATTCTTATAAAAGAAAACAGCACATTTTGTTAACTTACAAAAAAGTTAAAATATCCAGAAATAATAACATGAAAATTATTCCGTACTGCTTACAAACTCTGTTCTCTACCAGTAAGTTTGCGCAAAACAGATGTTGTTGTTAGCGATCCAGACGCAAAACAGATAATTTTAGAAAAAAAGTTGGATCTAATAGAAGTAAAAGTGATCGTTATGATGGAAAGTCCAGAGAGGCTGAATGTAAAATTAACTAGAACTGTGCAGATCAAGTTAAATTTCAATTCCAAAGCCCAAGGCATAGCCTTATAAGTTAGATCTAGCAGATGTAGGCTCTCTGGCTGCTTCTAGCCTTTTACTACTGATTTTAGACAGGGAATCTAGATTTAGCTGTCATCTGCACTATTCAAAAGCCAGCTCTGGTTGGTCGGAATGGTAAAATAAAAACAAAACAGAATTCTTTTGTCAGTACGTATATATCACAAATGCCATAGCCGCATGTATTAATAGTTGAATAACGCGATGCTGAAGCAACATTTTATTTCATGTCATAATTTATATACAGCCAGTAGTTTTTATTTTATTGTTTTGTAAAAATAGCCTTGTTTTCTGAAGCAAAGGCAGTTCTCATGGCCTGGAGGTTAAGGTGTATTCAAAGGTCCCGCGTTCGAATCCTGGTAGCGACCGAACAATTTTCTTCTCTCTAAAACAGTCTCCTTTCACCTTCTTTCCTTCTCTCTAGCAATATTCTGTCGTCTGCTTCCGTCTCCACTTTCTTCCCCCATCCCCTCACCTCCTTTGCCCTCTCTACTGGGCTCATGATAGTTCCACCATTTTTTTTTACAATGTGTTAAAAAAGTTTTCGTTGATTTGACTTTTAAATATTTTATTTTGAATTATTTTGAGGGTAGGGTAGATTTTAAAAAGACAATGAAAATTGCTTTTAAAAGGAGTTAAAATCTATTCTTGAAGCATGTTTTCTCTTCCCTGTTATGTTTCATCATTGACTTCTAATCACGACATTGCAAAAAAATTTGCAGATGGAAGGGAAAAAAAAAAAAAAAAAAAAATTGCAGATGATTGAACTATAATTGGGCTAATTCAGGCTGACCATAACGAAACCGTTTACTGGAATTTTGTACTTAATTTTTCTGAATGGTGTGAAAATCATAAGCTGCTTTTAAATGTGAAAAAAACAAAAGAACTTGTCGTTGATTTTAGAATAAAGAAACTGCCCCTGCAGTAACTCAAAATGAAATGTGAAAACATCGAGCAAGTGTCAGACTATAAGTATTTGGGTCTTACAATAGACAACAAACTCAACTGGCGTGTCCACACTTCTCTCCTGCATAAAAAAGTGAGCAAAAGACTATTTTTTCTTAGAAAGTTAAAGTATTTTAAAGTTGATAAAACATTGGTGTCCATGTTCTACCATTCAACCATAGATAGTATGATCAATTTTTGTATAACAGCATGGGCTGGGAACACAAGACAACAAGATAAAGAAAAATTAAATCGACTAATACGGAAAGCATGTAAAATTTCAACATCTTCATTCCCGTACTTGGATGAATTGTACATAACAGCTTGCACTAAGAAAATTAATTCCATCTTTTTAGACAACAAACATCCCTTGTTCCCTCAAATAAAAACATCAGTCAGAAGTAAAAGACCCATGCTTCTGATCTGTAACAAAGAAAGATACAGAAGGTCATTTTTACCATCATCTATCAAAATGCTTCCATCTCTTGTTTAGAGTACTTACGACCTTAGAGCATGCATCAAAATAACATTGAGTGTGTATCTAGCTTACGATTATTATTGTTTATATTGCTGCTCATTTATTATTATGTATGTGATTGTAAGCCTACTTGTGTGTGCATGTGTGTGCATGTGTGTACGTGTGTGTGTTTGTGTGTGTGTGTGTGTGTACTCATGGTGGAACACCAAACCAATGTGCCAGGATCTGGACAATAAAGATGTATCTTATTTAAATGGCGAAGTGGAAATGAATTTTCCATGAATAATTATATTAGAAACAATTTAATCATTGGTTTATTTTTTCAAGTTTTTACATTATGTGTTCTAAACTTAAAAGCTAATTATCTAAAAATTAGATACTCTACGTCGCAAAAATGTGCAATATCTCAAAACGAAGAACCTATTCGGAATCTAGTCTGAATAGCCTCCCGTATCTATTCGGACTAAACTCCAACACGCTTGTCTAGGAAAATACGGGGTGCCCATTGGGGGATCGTGTCTGGTCGGGTCGGTATTATTGCCAGATTCGCCGTCTCAAAACAAACGCGTTCGGCTTGGCCACATTAGCCGCTTTGCGGCCTCAATCTGGCTAGTAAACCGCTGTGACCCGACCCGACCCCCCATATGTATTATTTAGTCCTGATTTTAATTGAACATCTAAAAGTAAGCTGTTGGAAAAGCTCTTAGTCTTCTGTCCCCTTCTTTTTCAGAGTTTGGAGCAAAAAAAAGAGCCAGGGAGCCAAATGAAATTAATTCAGTGGGCAAGGCGCGATCCAAAAGAGGTATTAGGCCCGGTAACCCCAGCCCTGATCCCTCTTGGGTCATTTCCGGTAAAACAAGAGAGGGGGTGAGAATAGCGAGACATAGGTTATTCTCACCCGGGGTGAAAATAATCACTTCCATTGCCAAAACATCAAATCATTGTGAACTGCAGGGGGGCGAAACCTCCTAGATTCTGTTTAGGTCCTGAAACCTCCCATGTTGTAAATCCTTGTGGCAAAAATTAAGGCCACATTATTTGGTGATCTTGTATATATCTAGTTCCGTTCGTTAAAGTCCACGAACCATTTGTCAATGCCTCAGGGTCTACGTACACGGTAACAGGGCACGTAGCCTCAGGGTCTACGTACACGATAACCGGGCACGTACGCTGGCCTCAGTGTCTACGAACACGGTAACCAGCAACCGAGCGTGTAGTCTCAATGTCACACACACGGTAACCGGGCGCGTAGCCTCAATATCTACGTACACGGTAACCGGTAACCGGGCGCGTAGCCCATGGGTGAAAGTGGCAAGAAACAGTTTAGCCTGAAAATTCTGTTGTTACAGAACGGATAGCCTGAAAAGTTCATGGTAAATTCACGCGCCTGAAGGATGGGATACGCTTCTCAATATCCCAGGGGCATATTACATAACAACGACCGCACATGCTCTATTTAAATATATATATATATATACACACACACACACACAAACAAGTACGTAGCCAAAATTATATAATATGTATCCAGTCAAAAAAATTCCAGTGTGGTACTGGAGTCTTGTGTGACTTACGTATTTCAGTCTATTCTTACTTGTTAGATATTTTCTTATATAAGTCTTATTTTATATTTTCCCCTCATCATTTTATATATAATATATAAACTATATTATACAAATGAATCCTGCTTTGGGCCTGTGAAAGGGCCTAGAACCAGAAAATCGAATGTCAAGAACCAGTCTTGGTATCATGATTCATACAATAAACGTGAAAGACAAATTATTGCTCAAACTCAAAGTAGAGTAAAAACTTGAATGGCTCAAGCAGATCTATTCAGTGCGATAGTTGTAAGAACTGAAAGAGGTCAAGATGCAGTGACACTGAAAATTTGCCAGTCTTGAAGAGAAAGCAACAAAAAATATAGTTACTTTATAATTTACTATCACCCATCCAATGAAACGCAAACACTTTAGTTCATCAATAACAAGGCTTACAAGATATGACGGATCCCGATTTTACACACAGCGGCACCAAAGCGCGCTTTGTAGAGAGCTCAAATAAAATATTTTAAAAATAAAATGCGCTTCTAAGTTTGTTGTCCTCTGGTGTTGCTTCCGCACCCTCCCCACCCAGAGTATCTTATTTTTAAAAAATCAATAATATAATTCCCCCCCCCCCCCCCCTCCGAGTCCTATGCTTCCAAACGCTAGACTTTGAACGAACTTCGGCGACCCAAACTACCGTCGGTGCTCACACTACTCACAGTCACAGGATTCCCTATCATGCGACGAGAACGCGCGCAGGTTCAATGACCGGTCACCATGAGGAGCCCAAAAAGCTGACAATCGGACGACGCTTTTCATTCTTTTTTCACAAGAGACAGCACAGATACAAGATTTGATTTGATTTTCATGGCGACACGGCGTTTATAGCGAACGACCTGCATGTCACAAATGTTGCGTTACCAGTCTATCACCGGCCAAGTTCTGGGTGGTAACGAAAGCGAAAGTCATCTTGATATTCCCGATCGAGCCACAGTGTCACACGCTTCCGCATGCTGCGAAAGCCGCCTGTTCGTGTAACAAGTACTTGTCGGACCGGGAAAAGCAGAACGAACATATCACAATCGCGGCCAGCAAAAATGAACTTGCTGACCATATCGGAATTTGTTTTCAAATATTCCACAACTTTTTATATTTTCCCGAGTCATCCCGACTTTTTCCTGGGGTAATTTACAGATTTCCTCAAATTCCCGGGTCTCGGCAATTTTTATCAAATTCCTGTCACATCGTCGGCTATGGAAGACTTGCACGGCCGGTGTAGCCGAAGGGTGGCCTACAGATGAGCTCAAGTAGCTGGAAATTCCGGCAGGAGCCGGAAAACTTTCACCCCTGGCGTAGCCTCAATATCTACGTACACGGTAACCGGGCGCCTCTCATTATCTACGAACACGGTAACCGGGTATTTTGTTTCGAGGGGGGGGCTTGAGCTAGGTGCATGGTAACTGCTTCGCTCCCTTCACGACCTTTTTCCTTTTTCACTTCGCTTTTTTTGTATGTTGTGAGCGGAATGTAATCCCAAAAATGACCCCAATCTACTCCCTGTCATCTTTCCTAAGGGAGAGCAAAATGCAGTGACACTGAAAATCTTACTTAGCAGAGAGCTGTAGTTGTAATCAGAATTCTAAACATTAAACATATTTTTGCTTCCAGTTTCAGTTGGGTTTTTTTTTGTCCTCTGGTGTTGCGTCCAGCCCTAGCCCTCCCCCTATCCCCGAGTGTGTCTCTTAAAAAAATCAATAATCTCCCCCCATTCCTGAGTCCTGTACTTCGAAGCGCTCAGAACATGCGCAGGTTCATTGACCGGTCACAATGGCGAGCCCGACAAGATGCTTGTATAACTTTCTTTTCTTTATGTTGCCCCCCTGACAGTGACAAATATTGATTTATTTTCATGGCGACACCACGTTTGTAATGCCGAACCTTCATGTTACAATAATTGTTGCGTTATCAGAGAATTACTGACAAATTTCTAGGTGGTAACGAAAGCGAAAGTAAAGGCTTACTGGACCCTCTGTTATATCTTGAAATTTAATGGGTATCATGCTGGACTATAGAGCGGTTGACCCTAGTGCGTCTTCGAAAAAGCGCAAACTTTGTGAACAGAGTTACCTTACTTGTGTGAAAAACAATAAAAGTGACACTCTTTTTGGCTGAGTGAACTATCTCTTGGACCCTCCGGTTACCGTGTACGTAGATACTGAGCACTACGTGCCCGGTTACCGTGTACGTAGACCCTGAGGCTACGCGCCCGGTTACCGTGTACATAGACACTCTGTGACAATTTGTTTACATCCAGAGAAGAAATCCAGAAGTCTTGATGACCAAATGCTATTTGAAACATGCCCCCCTGAAACCACCCTACTCTTGACTTTAACTTTAATAACGAACGAAACTACAAAATCGCCCATTATTTCGGTTCAACTGTCAACACGCAGAATCTAAAAGTATAAAGGCCACCTCTATTCTCACTCCGGGTGAGAATAGTGCAGGCGAGTCTTTTGGCTATTCTCACCCGGTGCGCGTTCACCGTTATAGCCTAGATCTAGGCCAACCAATTTTGCTTTCACAATAAACCACAGAATTATACACTGTGATACAGAAAAATTGTAGAATTCTGTGCCGTGAACAAACGTTCCATTACTACTGTACTAAAAGTGTACAATTTTGTCTGTGGGCAGTGGAGAGAGAGAGAGAGAAAGAGAGAGAGAGGAGTAGCGCGAGAACTTCCATGCAAAAACAAAATGGCGACCCGCGTAGTTCGGATCGATTCGAAAAGTTAAATAGCCGTAGCATCTTTGTAGACGACCAAATTAATTTACTTTTGAGTTTTAAAATCATTTTTTAACTTTGTTTTGGTCAATTTGATCATCCACACCGATAGACAGTATTCAGAAAGAGATAGAGAATAGGGGAGGAGTAGATCTTGCGAGAACTTCCGGGCAAAACAAAATGGCGACCCCCGTAGTTCGGCTCGATTAGAAAAGTGAAATAGCCATAGCATCTTTGTACTCGATAAAATTAGCTTACTTTTGTGCTATGCTATAACTATATAACGTAATCTTTTCTTTGCCTTTATCCATTTGATCATCCACATCGATAGAAAGTATTCCGAAATTAGGAAAAACAGGTCTTTTTTTACACCGGGTGAGAATAGCCTACGGCCTACGGTGGCAAGTCTCACCCGGGGTGAGAGGTCGATCGTACTTCTATTCTCACCCCGGCCACTTCCAAGTATAAAACGTGTACATGAGACGGGTGCATGAGTAAAAAATATAAAACTGATCTAGTAACTCAAACCGTAAGTATCTAGATCTAGAAGTCTAGATCTAGATTAGATTTCTAGATTTCTAGATTCTAGATCGAATTTAAATTATGTAAGCTGAGGCTGAAGCTTGGACTTGGAGTTGGATTTCCGATTGCGAAGTCAGCAACAAAAGTAAAAGTCAAGTTCCAGTCTCCAGTTCCAGCTGCGAAGTCTAGAAATTGCACCTCAGCAAATAAAAATAGCAACAATAAACTTGGAACTAACATTTCAATTTGACTCTCCTAAAGACTGACTACCTATTTATATAAAAAGGAGTTTTGAGCATTTTGTTGATGAACTGTCCATCTAACTACAGTACCGCCACCATACACCGTTTGGCGCTTTGTTTGTTGACATCTCTGACAGTAAAGAATCACTTCAATTTTTAGACTTATTTTGTACTGCTAGGTGGTAAAAACTTAAACGTATGACATACGAAACAAAAGAAACGAGACTTTTTTTCTTCTTCCTTTTTTTGCCTCTTCAAGGGGAAACCACTCTGTCGAGATTACATCTTGAGACACTGCTGTGTGTGTATGCAAGCAAGCGAAGCCAACACTACGGAAATGGATTATAATTTTGGATTGAAAGGAGAGAAATAAACTGACGGTAGATAGAATCTATATCTAAATGCTGTGGTTTTATTTCATTCTCTTCTGATTTTCTTAAAAGCATAATCTAGACTCTAGATCTAATCTCTATCTGTTGAACTTGTTTGAAGAATATAATGAATGATTTATTTTTCGCATCCCCCTCTTTTCTGCCCTCTGCACTCTGACTGCAGACTACCTGACTTGACTGACTGACTCAGTTTCTTCAATCAATGCTAGATTTTTCTAGATAGGCCGAGGTTTAATCTAGATCTATATCTAGATCGAACCCAACAACAAAATTAAATCCCTGGATCCTTTAATCAGGGATATTTTGGTCTCAAGGGCTGGAGTTGAAGCATCTGTGTGTGTTGACTGGCTTGACTGAGGACAGGGAAATTTAAGTAAAAAGGCTTAATTTAAAAGGCAATCGAAAGAGGATACCAAGCAACTGTAGGCTTACTGAGTTTTGAACTAAACTCGCACAAAAAAAGTTAAGGAACAAAAATTTAAAGCAAGATAACTGAAAAACTATTTAACCGAATTTATTCATTTTTTCAAAAAAGATGCTTTCGACTCTCTTGTTTACGAGTGTATAATTTCAGATTTCAACAACAAAGAGAAATGCATGTAAAATTAGATCTAGTATAAAAAAATTACACTGGTCGTATTTCAAGAGTCTGAGCAGCCGTAGTTCTTCGTAAACATTCTCAGTAGTGGTTGTAGCCACCCCGATTGGTCAAACACTCAGTACAGCGTCAACGCATGGACAGGACATGATGCATTCGGAGATCTTGTTGCGGTAGGTTCTGCCACTCCTGGACGAGGTAGCCCAATAGATGTTGAACGTTTTGTGCAGGAGGGTGGTTGTCCCAAATCCGCCGGTCAATGTGATCCCAGATGTTCTCGATTGGACTACAAGCTGTCCAGTCCATGCGGGTGACACCTCGCTGCTGCAGGAAGTCCCTCACGATGCATGCGCGATGTGGTGTGGCGTTGTCGTCCTGCAGAACAGCCTGGGGTCCAATCTGCTGCAGGAGAGGAACAGCAAGGGGACGCAGCATTTCGTCCCTGTACCTTGCAGCGGTCAAATTGCCCTGTATATATGGTACAGGGGGGTCCTGTGGTGAGCTGAGAAGCCTCCCCACACCAGAACGGACCCTCCACCGTAGGGCGCCACCTGCTGGATGCAGTCAAGGTGGAACCGCTCTCTTCGGCGCCTCCAGACGTTGGCTCGCCTGTCTGGGTGCAGCAAGTTGAATCTGGATTCGTCCCGAGACGACAACCTGGTCCCACTGACGTCGTGTCCACTGTAAATGTCGAGCAGACCACGCCAAGCGAGCTGCTCTGTGGGCCGGCGTGTGCCTTGGGCGTCTTGCAGGGACACGAGAAGCGAACCTGGCTCTACGGAGACGGTTCCTCACCGTCTCCTCGCTCAAGTGGACATTGGCTGTCCCCCGTAGTTGGCCCCTGATGCGGTTTGCAGTGGTGGTTCGTGATGTCACGGCCTGTCTGACGATGAACCGGTCGATCCTGTCGTTGGTCCAACGGGGCCGCCCTTGTCGAGGCCTGTCCTGGACCCTTCCGGTCACTCGCCATCGTTCTTGCAGCCTCCATATGACTGACGGGGACACCCCAAGTCGACGTGCAATGACTCGGAACGTGGTTCCATCTTGGAGCCAGGCAAGGGCGCGTCGTTGAACCATCGTGTTGTAATGAAACATGGCTGCAAAACGCTGGGTTATAAAGGGTTACAAGTGAGTGATATTTACAACCAAGACATCTGTTTAGCACGTGCCAAGCTCAGTTTTAGCCACCAGCCCCAATGCCAATGTTGCCGAGGCAGAGAAATTTAGCCCATTTTTCATGCTTTTCAGCTGTGTTTGGGCATGCCCTGCTTTGTCGTTGTGAAGCTCGTGCGGGTAAATTTGCTGTACAGGCAAACTGTGTCAAGTCGTCAGTGCGTGTGTCAAGTTTGGTTGACTGAGCTTTACGGATAGCGAGATATTGAAGTTCAAATTTTACAGGTGAAAAAGTTGTTCCTTAACTTTTTTGTGCGAGTATGTTAGATGTAGATCTAGATCTCTAGATCTAACTGTGACTCAGTGTTAATTTAATTTTTTAAAATAAGACAGTTTTTTAATGGTTTAAAAAAATTATTATATCTCCTCTACTAATCTAAGACTAGTAGTATCTATAGGTCTTTCACTTGGGGGTGATTTTGTTGTTTCGTTCTTTAACTTTAAAGTCCAAAGCTGAACGCCAGAGGCTCTGAATTGCTGGGTAATCGTTGAGGAGTGAACTAAGCGTAAGACTGGAAGGAAACACTAAAGTAAAGCCAGAAAATAAAAATTCTGAAAGCGAAGAATGGCGCTTTATCGGCAGTTCCCGGTTTAGGCCCCTGTCAAGAGTCAAGAGTGTTGGGGGGGGGGGGGGGTTCAGGGGGCCCAGACCTAATCAAAATATATGGGGGGGGGGATGGTGTTCAGGGGTGGAGGGGGGGTTCTGGGGGGCATGCCCCTTGAATTTTACAATAATTTGCTGTTTTATTGCATCCCTGTTTTTTGTGTTGCCTATTTGGTCATCAAGACTTCTGGATTTCTTCTCTGGATGTAAACAAATGGATTGTGGACTTTAACGAACGGAACTACAAGATCACCTTCACTTGAACTAGATCTGTTGAATAGACTACTAGATATCTATTGGATAACTTTTAAAAACTTTATTTAGAGCATTTAATTGATGGTAGAAACTTGTAACTCTTCATTGATTCTGGTTATTAGTCTAGAATCTAGATGGCATTCTTAACAAAAAATTAATTAATTAATTAATCGCCGGCTCTATATTTCTCCGAGCGCTCTGGAAAATAAACTTTCAGAACTCTGTTTCTCCAAATGGTTTCCGTTCTCGAGATTTGTTAATACGGAGTGATTATTCTCACCTGGGGTGAGGATAAACTGGATATATTATTTATTCTCACCCGGGGTGAATTGATACTATTCTCCCCTCGGGTGAGAATAATGACAGCCTACTATTCTCACCCGCTTTTTTCGTTTCGGGCATCATAGGACCCCTGTCACTGAGCGCTCCAGGCGACAAAAGTCGCCACCCTCTCTCACTAGAATCGCCAACGGGCGGGCTAGCACGGGAGGCGACTATTGTTGATTTGGGGGAAAACCTTATCTTTTGAGCAAATAGCGTCACCTTTTGTTGCTACAGTATTTATTGGTTCTGTAGGCCTGGAAAATGTTACTCTTGAATGGTTTATTGAACTGTGGGTTCTGTTTAGGGATAACAATTAGACACGTTTTTTTGTGTTGTAAACAAATGCCAATTCTAACCTTACAATGACAAAGTATTACTAACATTATTTCATTAAACTGCTTTCTTAAGGCTATTATTTTTAAAAACATACTTCTCTGGCAAGTGAATTTCTTTCTGAATTTAGAATACACTTTTGCCTTGGATTTTGGTGAAGATATGCGTCCATACTCTCAAGATTTAAGAAAATGAAACTATAACAATCCCCGTGGGAGCCTAGAAAAATAGGCCAGCGCTATGGGGCAGGTCACAAACCTCTTACAATTCAGTGAATTCACAAATTATTTTGTATCATCTGTTCTCAACACCCAGGTAGGCCTAAGAATAAAAAATAAAAAATCCATTGCATTCTCAGACTGGGTGAGAATAATTAATACAAATTTGAGAGGTGAGAATAACAATAGTATTAATTCTCACCGCGGATGAGAATAAAATGCATATATAATAAATTATTCTCACCCCGGGTGAGAATAAAATTATATTTTTAATTTCTCCGCGAGTGAGAATAACGACAGCCTTGTTGATAATAGGCCCTAATTGCGAATGGAGTGGCCCATGTTTGTGTGTGAGTGTGGAGTGTGAGTGAGTTTGCGTGTGTGTGTTTGTGTGAGTGAGTGTGTGTGTGTATGTGTGTGCGTGTGTGTAAGGTCGATCAGTCTTATTTTCTCGCTGTACCTGTTGAAGGCATTTTCAAATGAAGTATAGGTCCGGGAACGTTACCCCAAACCACAACTGAAGTATCTGAATCAGACATTTAAAAATCTCTAGCTCTAGAAATTGAATTGGATGCAAAAAAAAATGCTTCTTCCCAGTCCTCGCAAAATGGCAGAATGAAAGATGATCGCCTAAATCTCGCAAATAACCAAACATACTCCAGAAGAGAAATCGTTCAGAGAAATAGAGTTCAAGTTTATTTTCCCGCTTGTTTAAAAAAATTTTCACTTCGTTCATTAATTTTCAGGCGCTAGGTCCTTTTCCTTTGATATTCTTATTATTTTAATTGATGAACATGGAAAAAATAATTTTAACCCTATCCGTATATCGTGTTTTACTGTCGTATCCATATGACGTGGGATACTTTGTGCCACCACTTCCAAAGAAGAAATTTACTCATTAAGTACAAATTGCGATCCGTACGCTAACAATTCTGTCAAAATATTTTTTGAGAAATACTGAAAGTTTCAGAGAAATATCTTCATACTAGATCTTGAAGTATTCTAAAATGTGAAGAACATAACCCCGGGGGTACAAAATGACCCCAGGGCGTCAGATGGTTAAAATATGTCATGTAAGATCTATCTGGCAAAGTGTAAATTGTTTTTCATTAAAATGAATCATGTCTGTGAAACTGCTATGTAAGCATAAGAAGAGGTGTGTGCGTATAAATATCATATTTACTTTGAAAGTGTTTCTTGACTTGTTATTATATGATTGGCTCATGGGTTGACAGTAGTTGACACTCACTGAACTCTATTCCTCCCCCCACCCCCCACCCCACTCAGCAAAGTCAGTCACCAGTCTTAATTAATTGTTTCTGTTCCTGCCTAGTGTTTCCCCTCTTGGTAGATATACTTTCAGTGATATATTTATGTTACCCCAAGACCACTCAATGCATTAAATATATTTGCCTTTAAAAAAATTTCAGGTCATCGTTTCGTGAAGATATAAAGAACTGTTTGTGATATTATGGAAGATGACATCGTCATGGGCTAAGCTAGTGTCCCATACTTCAAATCCAAGATGCCTGTTGCCAGTTTTGTTTGCCCTCGTCTTCCTCTACATTCTAATTTACCTGCTGTGGGCTACACCAGTCAGCCATGCGACCCGCAGACTGCACACAAAATCAGTTGTGTCCCACACGTTCAAAGGTTCGGATCTTTCCCCCCGCACAGAATGGAGTATGTCAGGGGTGAGTTGCTCGTTGCTTTATTCACTGCTTGGGTGCAATTTATATTTTATGTAAAGTAAAGTACTTTAGAATTAAAAACTCCATCTTATTTCCAACTTAATTCACTCCCTCCACCCCTATTTTTAAGTTCTGAGTTTAATTTGGCTTCTCTTTCAATACCATTTAGGTTGTTTAAAAATCTGTTAATCTCAATCACTGACAGGTCAGGCTGGGCTGATTTGGCTAAAAAATCTCTCCTGAACAATTAACTTTAAACAGATAAGTTTAGAGGCGCTCTTCATTAAAGGCCCTAAATCATTTTCCCTGCTCTAATGTTAAGTGCACACTAAATACAAAATATTTTTGGCAACAGTCAATTGATTGGTGCAGATTTGATGGTTGTTGTAAATATTGCACTCTGACTAGTTGGTGAAGTTTGCTGTTTGCTTATTACACTAAAATGTTTTTGCTCTAATGTTAAGTGCACACTAAATACAAAATATTTTTGGCAACAGTCAATTGATTGGTGCAGATTTGATGGTTGTTGTAAATATTGCACTCTGACTAGTTGGTGAAGTTTGCTGTTTGCTTATTACACTAAAATGTTTTGATGAGAATTTTATGATTTAAAAAAGGATGTTTGTACATAAAATAATAAGATTCAGTTTTTGACTTCTTTGAATTTGAAGAGGGCTTGGTAAGAGAAAATTTTTAATAATGGAGAGGACAATGGACAGCCAATGATTAGACGAGAGAAGTGCAGGATGATTGAAGAAGCTATCACACTAGGTCTGCCATTTTTCTGAAAAGTTCCAGCATTTTGAAAACTAATCAATTTTCATGTTGTGAACTTTTTGTTTGGTGTATATAGGCAGTTTTTTTAGAAGAGTACTTTTTAGCTTTTTAGAAAATTATTCTTTTCATCATTTGTCTTTTCTTCCGAAGTAGGGAAGTCCCTGGAATCTCTATCAGCTCTAAGTGACAACTATTATGAAATAAAATAAAGTATTTTAAAAACTTTAAAATTTGTTCTCATGTTTGTACATGACCTTTTCTTTTTTCAGGTTGATAAGATAATGCCTGATGGGGAAGGGGTATGGATCGATGGTAGGCATATTGAAGTCATGTCGGCCATCTTTAATGTTCACTCGGCTGAGGACCGGCCCAAAGTGATGCTGCCATCCTTCTTAAAGCACTCCGTACCGAGAGACTTTGTCTGCTGCATCCGTGAATATCCAGGAGCTAGTAAGGACCATCAGGTAAAGTTTCCTCCAAAGGCTGAGGGAGGGGGAGGGGGGGGGGGATTATGTCATTAATACTGTATCCCAGGTGAATGTTTGACTGCTTTAACTCACTGGAGACAGGGCATTTTTTGGGTCTACATGCGCTGAAGACTGGCATTTTTAGGGGTACTTCAATGTTTCAAACAACACCATTCCCAAAGACATACAACCACCATTTTTACACCTAACAGATCAAAACATGCTCAATATGACACAAAAAACAGAATGGCAATATCTTTTTAGTTTTTTAAAAATGATTTTTTGAAAATGTGCTAATATTTGTTGCTCGCCAAAATTTTTTGACGTAATGTCTTGTGTAAAAAAGACCCAACAAAACCCCCAAAAATTAACCTTGTGTTTGTCTTTTATTCTGTTTTGTGTTTCAAAATGAATAACAAGTCCAAACTCATGAAACGGCAGGTAATCGATATGGTAATCCTTATGTATTAGCTGTCAAATCCACTTCAGTGTGAAAAAACAGGGCTCCAGACAAAGCGGAATTTTGCATTTGAAAGCCTAGTCTAGATCTAGAACATTCTCTATCAGAGTCAGTGCTTTGATGCTCATTTACTTTGAAATCAGGGTCCCCATGGTCTGAAATATCATAATCAGAATTTTCTGAACTGTCAAAGTCGTCAAACACTGGAAAAATGTTTGCTTGTCGTGCTGCTAAATGGGTGGTTGGGGGGTGCTCTGGTGTGGTTTGCTCCTTCTTTCCTATCAAACTACTCTCGTCCGGATCTCTCCTCCTTCTTTTTTGTGTTTGATACTCTCTTGTAACACCTCATCTTGGGCACTTATATGACCTTTTTGTTTTGCAAATGCCCTTACTAAAACTAAACGTGCTGCCATCGTACTGACAAGTGACTCAAAAAAATTCCCAGCCAATTCTGATGAAACTTCGGACAAAACAAAACAAAGGTCGGTTGCACAGTAAGAGACGGTTCACGCAGCGTTTGCGCGCATACTGTACAGAGGAAAAAATGCGAAACTTGTTCTCGCAGGGATTGCGTGAACCGCCTCTCGGGAAAATACTGGTGCTCCAGTGAGTTAATTGCGGTGAAATGAGATGCATGAGCATTAATGCACAAAACTGCCTAAATCAAGCTCATTTATATTTGATGGGAAGTAAAGACAAAAAAGGAGTTACATTTGACAACAAATTCTATGCACCACCAAGTCCAAAATCTACATAAGAAAGACTGCATATTTAGAGATCTGAAAAATTGCACAAATGGTTCCTTTTTTAAGCAAGACATCTTTTAAGACACTGATGACCGATGTCATCTTTTGTATTATCTCACATTGATTACCGCGACTCACTCCTTAGAAACATTCCAAATAGACCTAATGAATGAACTGCAGAGACTCTGGAACCAAGATGCGGGAGTTGTTCTCAAAGGCCATGAAGAGAATATTCAACATTATTGCTTTCACAGCTAATGTGCTATAAGTGTTTAAACGATTTGGCACCACAATATCTTTCTAATGTACTACAGGAGTATTATATTCCATCTCTAAAGTTATGGTCCGTTAATTAAAAAAACTCTCAAGGCTGTGCCTTGTGAAACTAAACCAATTGGAGATAGGGCTTTTTCACTGCTTCTTCCTCTGTGTGGAGATCAGCAACTCTTTTTTTTTTGCCTGTTGTAAAAATTTTAAGAAACCAGTTACATGGTTAGAACATAACACCATAGATACCCATACTTTTTTGAGGGGGTGTATAGAGCCGTAAAAATCAAACGTTTGTAAATGTCCTGACATAGACTGATAATTTTTGTTGGTTTGCATTTCCAGACGCGGGCTGTTCTGGAGCACATCGACTTAAGGTTCATCGCGGACTATCAGAGTTCCACATTCTCCTGTCTACTGCCTGGGGACAGTGGCAAAATTTTTGACAGCTCCCAGCCTCCCAAATATGAACTGATCACCTTTGCCCCTGAATCATGTGGAGCTAATGAGACGAATCCTATGCGGATTGTTTACCCTGTGCGACGGAAATTTGAGTTTGCTGTTTGTACGAAGGTTTGTAAAAGTATACATTTTTTTTGCGATGGAGGGATAAATATTTTGTCTAGAAGTTAACATATGTATATAAAAAAATCTGTGCTAAATATTAACTTTGGAGTGGAGTGTAAGGGGCGTGTACATCGAATAAAAGTGTATGTTATTTATGACTCCCTTGTGTATGTCTACCTTGCAGTTTGTGTATAGAAAGACAGGAAATGGGTTAGGCTTCTCATACAAGACACAGGATCAGTCGATAGGTTGGGATTGTCTCAGGCTGAATTTAAACCTCTGACATTTCAAAACATGAATGTTTTATATTTTTTGGACCATTTTGATTTCTGTATGATTAGTGAAGTAACTTCATTGGCATGAGGGCATTTGGACTGGTTGGTTGGTCCTGTGGTGTGGTCTTTTTGTGGGAAGGGAATGTACTTATATCTCTGTGGTATGAGGTTTAATCCTTTTGCTGTGTGTTTAAACATGAGTTTTATTCCCACATATAAGATTTTTTTTATTGGGTGTCTCTTTATTTTTGGCTTGGATTTGGAACTGATCACCTTTTAAATGTACTTTACTGTTATGACGTGATGGAATCAGGCACTCAATAGTTTTTTTTGGGCATTTTTGCAATTTATATTATCAAAAAGCTTATTCATTTGTCTTGGTTTTGATGAAAAGTGCTTGTTTCTTTTAAATAGAAATTGAGGTATTTGTGATTGAAGGAGGTGTGGGTCACCTCTTGTCAAAGGTAAAGTAAGTGAGAAAATGGCAGCCAAAGTCTGGTGACGTCTAAAGCCGGAGAATCCTAGGAAACTGCAAATGTTTTGTGCCTTTGATCAACATTTCGTTGTTCTGTAAAACCCATACAGAAATGTATTTTGAAATGGACATAAAAGGTGTTGACAAAAAAAGAAGCAAAAAAATGTCTAACATGCTGAAAAGTGCCTGTTTCTTTGATTTGGGTGTTAACCCCCCCCCCCTCCCCAGAACTTGATAGAAGTTGTCTAACAGGTGGAAAATGTCTGCTTCTTTGATTTAATTATTTTGAGTGCTTGATTTCACCATGATTCCTCACAAATGATGCATTGCTCTTCTTTCGGGGAGGGTGGGGGGCACAGAGCAGTTAGCAATCATTTTACAATCTTAATAGTAATATATTGGTATTGTGTGATAATTTCAGGTAGCATATGCTCGACTGGAGCCGGTTCATCTGGTGGAGTGGTTTGAGTACATGCAGGAGGTGGGGATGAGTAAAGTGGTCACGTTCCACAACAGTCTTCAGCATGACACGCGGCGGGTCTTTGACCACTACGTGTCCACCGGGCTGCTGGAGCTCATAGAATACTACCCCCGCAGCAAGAGTGGTGAGGGGTTCTGTCGTTGGTTGGCAAATTAACGAGGGTTCAAATATTCCCTAGGTCTGATGAAATTTGTTGTTTCTGTTTGTTCCGTTGAGTTTCTCTTTGTTTTGCACTTGTTTTAATTTTGCTCCTAATTTATCGAATATTATACTCCCCATAACCCAAAGAAATTTTTCCCAAAAATGAGGTTCGAAAGTATACTTCTGTACACATATAGCATACTGCCAGGATCAAGTCTAAAAAAGGAAAAGTAATTTGGAATAGGACTTTCTATTGAAGAATTACCTCACAGATTAAATGTGAAGCGTGCTGACAAAATAAGTTACTTCTCGCGATCCACAAATGGAGAATTGGCTAAAAATCGATGCTAGGGTCAAATTTGTAGATTTTTTATTGATGGCGTATTGTTTAACCCTATCTGTACTCCCTGGGGTCTTTTTGTACCCCCAGGGTTGTATTCTTCACATTTTAGAATACTTCTAATACAAAGATCTCTTTGAAACTTTCAGTATTTCTCGAAAAATCATTTTGACAGGTTGCTATGCAAAGCGCACGGATCGGATTAACGAGTAAATTTCCTCTTTGGAAAGTGGTGGCACAGAGTTCCCCACGTTGTATGGATACGATAGTAAAACACGACGTAGGGATAGGGTTATGTATGATAATATGTCTTTTATTATTTTATACTTATAATTTGTGCAGACTTCACCTATAAGTAGGATGTATCTATTACCATAGGGCTCAAATCGAGAAGTGACTCATTTTGTCAACATGCTTCGCAAATCTTTCTCAGTGCAACAAACAAGTTTATATTATCACTGTATTTGATGTAGAACAAGTACATAACTGATTCAGAATGCAGCGCCACTCACTGCGGCTGACTGTCTCCTGTGTTTTGACGCTCAGAGCGACTCTTATATATTGCTGCTCCCTTTCTTCACACCACTGTCCTCTTTTTCTTTTTTCCTCACCCCACTAACATTTCAAACCTTTTTCCGGTGTTATTGAATAGCATATTTTGTTCTAAACGTCTATATGCCACACACAGGGATTTTGATCAAATTTAGATACTTCTTTATTAACATTTTTTGTGAGACCACTGATGACGTCACGAAACGATCACAAATTATTTGCGTCCAGAGTCAAAATTATCTGTGGGCTGAATCAGTTAATTCTTCGCATGTTGAGCTCCCTTCAGCTTATCAGAAATTTTACCCTTATTAATATTATACTCGTGGTCTACAAAAATGGGCAGATTGTAGAGTCTTAATATAACTCCCACCCTCTGCAGTTTATATGAGGTTGTGTTATAGGTGAGCATATACTGTACATTTCTTTTTAGGCCTCACATCATTAACATAGGAAATTTTGCTGTTATGCCAGTACTCCATTACTTTCAGCGCTGGGGAGGATACCATGATGTTGATTCTGGATTTAGCATTAACTTGTTACATTTTTCTGTCTCGCCAGTCGTATTCACAGAGGCCAATGGCCAGTCAAGGCAGGCCAGACACGACAAAACTCTGACCGTGACGGACTGCCAGTACCGACTGGGTGGCTACGACTTTGTCCTCACCATTGACTTTGATGAGCTGCCAGTCCCACAGCGACCGTATGGCACTATTAACTGGGTCCTACAGGTGCGTCATGTGTACTGTGTCGTTTGTTGTTGTACAGTTGGTTTTTATGAGTTTTCACAATGGCGGACGAGATAGCCACTATGAAAAGACATTGAAGAAGCAGATGGCCCAAGAGTGCTTACCAAGTCCCGAGTCTTTAAATATTCTTCAATACTGCTTGTGGATATCCGATGGATGTAATTTCATGGTTCATTGCTTGCAGAACACAAGTCGTCATCTTTAAGCTCATAGATAGGGAAAACTGTTCACTGTGAGTGTACTCTGATCTTGGATACCTTACTCATTTGAAGACATGCTGTTTTGAAGTAGTCATACAGATTTTTAAATTCTGTCTTCTATATATGAAACTAATGGACTCGGGCAATAATGTGTATACTTTGAAATATGTAATTTCATGTTTATGATTTATGTATGATGGTTCAAAATGAGCCACAACATTGCCTTTGGTCTGCTGCCTGATCAGACATGTGTATCTTCAATTTCCTCAAAGAGTTAAAGAGAAAGTCTTTGAAAATGTCAATGAAAACAAGGATTCTGAAATTTTTTTGGGGGTGATAAGTTGACATAAGTTAAAAACCTCTCTTTGACCAGTCCATAACTGTGATCTGTGCTCCATTTCTATGTTGTTTATTCAAAATGCTTAGAATTTTTATGAATTTGACTAGGAACATTAAAAAAACCCACTTTCATCTGCTAATTATTTTTAGTTGCGTGGTCAAGGCTCAGCCTTAAACTTAAAGGCAAGGTTAAAGTAACTCACTCCTTCAATGATCCAATTTTGGGTATGTGGGGGGGGGGGGGGGGGGGGGGAGCGCATAAAGCATTGAAAATCTTTTTTAACAGTGGCAATCTGTAACTTAACCCTTCCAGCCCCATGCGCATATATTTTCAGCAGCACTTGTACCTCCCTCCGTCCCAAGAGCGTATATTTTCAGCTTTGGGGATATCGCATTTGCGCATTTTAAGAAAATAGCGTACCTAATTAAACTTTAGTTTTCATAATATTTGTTCACAATCATTTTTAGATGTTTTTATTTAAACCTCTTTACAAAGATACTACATCACTTTTTAGAATGCATGCCTCTTTTTCTGAAATACTGCTGCATTGGCTGGGACTGGGGTTAGGGAGTGCACAAAAATGGCTGGGGTTGGAAGGGTTAACTTGACTATGTTGTAAGGAAAAGTTCTTGTTCATTTCTCCAGGACTTCCTTCGCAACAACTCTGACGCCAGTGCATTCCGCATGACGCCCATCCTGCTCCCGCCCGATTGGCGGTCGGATGAGGTCGACTTGTACCACTGGACCTTGCACAAGGGCAGCTACATCGGCCAGTACTGTATCAAGTGGGCATATGTGCCGGCCCGTACCAAGCAGGCTGCCACGCATGAACATCTGCCAAAAGACCCGTATAAGCCGTGAGTGTGTGTTTGTTTGTGTGTTTGGGGGGTGTGTGTGTGTGTGTGTTTGTGTGAGTGTGTTTGTGCATGCGTGTGTGTGTGTATATGTGTGTATGTTTTTGTGTGTATGTGATTGTGTATGTGTATGTGTTTGTGTGTGTTTGTGTAAACGTGTGTGAAAGTGTGGGTGTTTATCATGCTGATTTGTTTTATCAAGGGTCTGGTCCAGGGAAGTGTGGGGTTCAAACAGTATTTGATTGGAGTTCAAAAGAATGTAGCTGTATCTAAAAGGGCCTTAAACTTTTACTCGAAAAATAAATTGGTGATGTTTTTATTTTGAAAATCCTTTTCTACTGTTCTCTTCATAATTTAGTGTTGGGCTGTCAATTGTTAACTCTGCCACTGGTTCTGAGGTCTTTCAGCTTTTCATTTCTTTCAAAGTCAAAGCTTCTTTCAAAGCTTCCTGCTTTTCCCTTTTAATTTGCTTTCTGCTATTGAAGCTTCCAACAATTTCTATTTCATTTTTTTCTGTCTTGCTTTTGAAGCTTCTTACTTCTTTTTTTTTCTTCTGTTTTTTAAGTTTCTTACGTTTTTTTTTCTTTTCTTGTTTTTTTTTACTTTTCTGCCTTCAAAGCATCATAGGTTTTCTTTTTGCCTTTGAAGGTTCCTACTTGTCTTTGTTTTCTTTCTGTGATCAAAGCTTTCTACCTTTTCTTTCTGCTGTTGAAACTTCCTACTTTATTATTTTTCTCTCTCTGAAGTACTGAGGTAAGAAGAGAAGGGATACCTTTGTGGTGTTAAGATAATTTATCGAGTCTCTCTCTCTCTCTCTCTCTCTCTCTCTCTCTCTCTCTCTCTCTCTCTCTCCCTCCCTCCCTCCCTGGAGTGAATCCGACTTAGCCTAGCTCAGCCCATAGGGATGGGCTGGGGCTGAAGCTGCATGTCCATCAAAAATGATCTAAATTATGTTAATGGGGGCATAAACAATCTAAACTGTGTTGATGGGGATGTAAAATCATTTACCACATGCCTTGTTTACCATACAACTTGTTGACTAAATCACCAGTTTTTTTTTTGTGTGTGTGTGGTTTTTTTTCCCCAGCTACTCGTTGCCTCAGGAAATGCTGCACTTCCTCCATTTCCGCGAGTGCAAGCGGTCGTGGCTTGACGTGCAGTGCGCCTCTCTCAAACCCTCCATCCTAAACGAGACGAGCCTCGCGCGCTTCAACGGCCGCGTCAGACACCGGCTGCAGCAGATCCCGCTGCAAGGTCTCGTCCGCGACTCCTCTTACGTCCAGATGGTCCAGTCGCCACCGCGAAAGGGAGATAAGAGAAAGTCAGCCTGAGTATATTTGTCTCATAAAGCAGTGGAATTCTCCTTCATTATTTTTATCATTGTTATGACTCAATGGACCTGGTCTTTTTTCTGTTGTTGCTTTGAGAGAGCTTTGGGTGCCTAGCTGAGTCACCATTATGTCTTGAGCAGAAGAGTTACTTTTCCTTTTCCTTTTTTCATCCTCTGTTTCTGTTAGGCATCGAGGGAAGATGCAGTTTTCTGCCATAGGCCTGAAATTTTGTAACACAGAAGAGTAAATTTCAAAAATTGAATTTCAAGTACACGAAACAAAACACTGGTATATTTTTGTGGACACGAGGCAGGTGACAGGCAATTTTATTATAGCAATGACTAGAAACGTAACAGAAATGATTTAATCTAGTGTGGGATGGCTGTATCCATGTAAGTCACTTCATCTTCATTGCTACTGTTCTTCTCGTTCTTCTTCTTATCGTTATCGTTATTTTCATTGCTCTCACTCTGATTTTTATTATTGTTTGTCTTTTTCTTCGTTCTCCTCTTCCTCCTCCTCTCCTTTTTTGTCATTTATACTGCTGTTTATGCTATTATTATTGCTTTCTGCTTTCATATTTACTAGTAATCAACTGCTTATTCCATTTATTAATGCTGTTGTGGCATTATTAGCTTGACTTTTATTGTCTTACAATAATATTATATTATCATCTTGCTCATCATCGTAATCATCCTTCACCTTGTCCTTGTCTTCATTTTTCATCTACCTCTACTTTTTCTTACTTTTTCTTGTCAATTATGATGATGATAATGATGGTGATGACAACTAATATTTCTATCATCATCTTCATCATCATCTTCATCATCAACATCATCATCATCATCATCATCATCATCATCATCATCATCATCATCATCGTCATCATCATCATCCTCCTGTTGTTATTATTGTTGTTGTTGTTATTCTAAATCTGTATTATGATGATTGTCAAACCAAATCCAATGAGAGATTTTTTAAGTGCTCTCTGTGCAAATGGGTTGTCCCCAGTAATATGACGGTGTTAAAAGGCGTAAAAAATGTATATTTTTCAAAGTGTTAAAGGCGTAAAAGATGTATATTTATCGAACAGAGAGATGGAAATCAAATGACAATGTAGGTTGTCGTTAAAAAAGAAAAAAGCAATATAAATATTGTGTTAATATCGTACTGGTGTTTCTTGATTACTGTATTGTATCAAGTTCTTTAGGAGTTGCACAACAATCAATTGTTTTAACAAGCATATCAAAGTGTGGTTTTCCACGTTTAGAGGTTAAAAAAGCTTGTTCTGTGAATGGGCATAACGCATTCAATATATGTATGTGTGCCTGGAGAAAGATCCCAGCTGTTGGAAATTTTGGATATTGAAATAGGGGCATATTCTTGTGGTAAGTAAAGTCGATGCTGAACCCGCTGATTTTTAAGTTTTCAAATATCTTGAATAGTTGTATTTTTAAAGATAACCACATTTTTTAACACAGGGTGTAAAAACAAAGTTTGTGAAAAAAACCCGGCTTTAACCATAGTATGTTGACCCAATTTCTAGCACATTTTTAACCTTTGGTGAAGCACAACATGTTTGGAAAATAAGTAATTAAAAAATATTTAGACTAAATATTATAAGATCCTTTCGATATGTTCTTAAGGAATGGTTAAACATGTGTTTCAGATGGAAATAGATTTTGTATCAGCTGCAACTTTTTCACCTTTTCACCCTGTTGCTCAAAAATAGTTCTGCTGACAATTTGGGCCTTTCTCCCGGCACACCCACATATGATGGGCAAAAGTTCTCTTTATGGTACGTTTGGTGTGTATGTATGTGTTTGTATTTGTGTGGGTTTGAGTGAGAGTGTGTGTTTGTGAGAGTGTTCGGTTAAATTGGTGTGTGTTTGTCTGGGTGATATTTTGTGTGTGTGTGTGTGTGTGTGTGTTTGTGCAGGCGTCTTTGCTTAAATAAGCATGTGTTTGATGGGATCAGGGAGGCCTATGGATATTGTCTGGTTCACTTTTCCTTTAGAGCTTTCTTCTCCCACCACCCCCATGTTACTTACAGTAGTTGGTGCTGTTTAAGACTCTCAATTCCCTACACTTCTCTACATCAATAGTGATTCATGATACAAATCTGACTCTCATCTGTGAATGATATATGTGTCAGGACGTGGTGGAATCAGGCGCTCATCAATTTTGGGGCATATGGAGTTATTGGTATCATCTTAAGCCTTACTTTTGATGAAAAAAATATCCCCTTATCTTGAATACAAGTCAAGATATTGGCGATTGAAGGAAGTGGGGGTCGCCTGGTTTCAGAGATAAAATTAGCAAGAAAATGGCCACCAAAGTTGAGTTATTTCCTTAGCTGGAGAGTCCATGGAAACTGAAAACTTACATCTTTTGTGCCTTTAATCAACGTTTTTCAGTATTATACAGACTGAAATGTCTTCTTTAATGGGCATGAAAGGTGTTGAGCCAAAAAACAAAAAACAAAAATTTGATTAGAATTCCCAAACCTGCGGAAAAATGCCAGTTTCTTGACTTTCAATTACTTCCATTATTTTGACGAGCACCTGATTTCACCACGCTGCCTCACGTATAGTCTTCTGATGTTTATTTTCTTCCCGTCTATGTGCTATGTACAGATGGAGCCCAGAGGAGACATTCATTTTTTGTTCTTCTCTGTGCCTCCTCAGTGGAGCTCAAGGAGAGTGGGTGGTTGGCGAGTGCTCTGGTGTGGTTTGCTCCTTCTTTCCTGTCAAACATCTATGGTCCTTATCTCCCCTTCTTCTTTTTTGTTTGTTACTCTCTTGTAACACCTTTAATCTTCTGGCGCTCATATGACCTTATGCAGTTGTGAGCGCCGTAAAACCTCTACTAAACCTAAAGTTCTAGGAGACATTGGTCTCGTTAACAGAGTGCTTTCATTACATAACTCGCTGCAAATCAAAATTGATTCTATTTTGGCCAGTAATCGATTGTTTCTTGAAGATGGATAAGAAAAGTGCTTTCGGCAAAAGAAGTGTAAAAGTGCCTTTACTTGTTTCACTCAAAAGTGAATAGGCCTTTTAAAATTTCATAATAGATTTATTGATGGGAAAGTTTAACTTCGTAACCTTATTTTGTTGCTAGGGATATTCTCCAAGGATTGTGAATGAGTGTTAGCTGATCTTATTAGATCATCTTTCAATGTGAAATAATTTTTGTACATCTGGCTACTGATAATTTTATTCTTGTTTAAAGTTCATTGCTTCTCAGACAGCCGTCGGGCTTATTAGAAAAATGGCTCTAGTCTATTATTTGTTTTGACCAGGACTATTTCAGTTTTCAGTCAAAATTAGTTTTGAAGTTTGTTCTTGTAGCTGATCTGTTCAGACTTTTTCTTGATTGCAGAAGTGCTCAGTTTTGTTCAGGTCTTTGCTACTACTACACCACTTTCAGGAACAGTTTTTGTGGTTATGAATAATTGGGGTGATGTCTGTTGACCGTTGTACTCTAGAGGTGTTGTGCTTCCTGGCATTAATTTAAATCACTCAGTCTCATGCGGTTTTTATAATAAGGCGTTCTTTAGTGACCAGATTTGAGGCGAGGCTGATTTTACAAGTATTGAATTGATGTTAGAACTGAACGAAGAGCCATTTCTTTTGGTCACAAATACTTGTCACTTTTAGGGAATTGTTGTAGGAAGAAAAATGCTAATGAAAATCTAAGAAGTCGAAATTCTAATGTGTGTTGCAAGTGCCGTAAAACTCTTACTAAAACTAAAAAAAACTTAAAAATTCTAATGCTTACAGCTTTTGACCGATTCCACACGTCCAAGGTACTTAATAATAAACCATCAAATAACACAATGCCTGAACTGCTTCATGCATCGTTTTTCTTTAAGATTCTTTTAAAAGGTGACGAGTAATGAAAAGCGCTCAACAAAGTAGAGTGTATTGTGTTAATATGATTAAGTTTCATAAGGATCTGGCAACCACACCCTTTGGAATGAGAGCAGAAATTCGGTAAACACTTCTGAAAAAAAGATAAATAAATACAATTCATAAGTCATGAAGTTATAAAATCACTGAGTCGGTGAGCATTCTCCTCAGGGGTGAGGCAGACTTTTCATGAGTTGAGAACTTGTAAAGTAAAGTGTTCCATTCTTTTTACAGCTTACTTATTCTTATTTGGTTATACATGCAGCAAGACATTTTTGGATGTCCTTGACTCTCTCTGAAAGGATGTGTACATACTGCTCAGAGCGTTTATGTGTCTATGCCACCGAATGTACGGTCACACTGGCTACTTTTGTTTTGTTTGGGCTTTTTTTGTTTTTTTGTTTGTTTTGTTTTGGCTTCTTTTGGGGTTTTTTTGGTCAGTTGTCTTTGTTACTGGTCTTTTCATTTCTTTGCATTAGATAGGTAGGGGTGAAAAGCTTCTTGTGGACTTGCCTTGAAGAATTTATCATGTTTCTTAATTTTAAAAATGTTTTATTTAGATGTGCTGTGACTGCTTTGTGGTATTCCATTGTGCAGAGATGGTCAATAGATGCTCTCTGTATAGTTTGCCATGTAGCGTTCACATGTCATTTTAGCACCTGGTGCTAGGTTTTTATGATCAGGCTTATGGGTTTTATATATGTAAAAGTGCTGTAACACTGGTTCTGTTTAACCCCCTAATGATAGCAACCGGCAGTTTTTGCACAGAAATATTTCTGTCCTACTCTTCTGTTCTGTTGTTTTGCTTTTTATTTTGCTGCACAACTGTGGATGTTTGAGGGTTGCTTAGTGAGGTTTGCTTTGTTTCTGTGAACCTTATCAACTTTTAAGCTTTCAGGGTGGCATCGATAGTCTGTTGGTTAGGGATACCATGTTATGATAGTGAGATTTGGATTTGGAGTTCCAGACTCAACTCTGTCCAATGTTGAGTGCTTGAGGAAGATACTTCATATATATTTTCCCTAAAGGCTTGGTCCTTTATGTGATGGATGTAAAATTTGTAGTTCCTGCCACTTAAATAACCTAACAGGGTTGCAAGGGGTTGTAAAGCAATACAATGTCGCACATTTTTTCAGTCTCAAGCCAATGGTATGTGTTCCCATGTTGGTCATATGCCAACGTAACAAAATCTCTCTTGGTAAACAACTTCATTCCCTTTCATCTGTCTGAGTATCCTTTACAATAAATAGCATTGCTACCAAGCATTTGTACAAATTTCCCCCTTTTTTTGGTGTCTTGTTTCTCGTTTACTTTTTTGAAAAGTTCTCAGAGCCTTCCTTTGATTGAGGCTACAAAGCAATAAAAATGTTACCTCAAGTTACTTGTTTAACATATTTAGATTTCTAGATCGCAATGGATTCTCTTTTCTCTTCTTCTTTCAATGTCTTACGTGGTGAATGCTTCTACTTCCTAGCATAATAATATATATGTTCATCTTCCAACTTTCTTGATCACAATTGATTTTGCTTGCAAAGCATTTTTTAAATTGTAAATGTTTTAACTTTCAAATTTTATTTAATGTTGTTGATGACCCACCTATCGATTCTTCCAGGACTGCTCTTTGTATTAATTGCAAAATGTTCAAAAGAGAATTTTATATACTATTGGATATGAGCTCTATCTCTAGATCTGTATAGCATGTATATCATAATAAAGCACTGAGAATGTGGCTGAAGCCTCAGGCGTATCCAGCTTTTGCTGACAAATCTGTGAGTTGGTGAGATCTGTTTGTGCCTATGACTGTTGTAACACAATAATTTTTTAAAGGAAAATGCTGTTAATGATGCAAACACTAAAATGATGCAGCTGAAAATTCCGTCTGCACCTCCAAACAATCTTGTAGCAGTGGAATCTGCGATTCCAATATAAAGCAACTCACTTAAACTTGTGTGATGTGTATTTGACGTGTTTAAGATTGGGATCATTTAAGTAGGTACTAACCCTGAAAATTGTCTGTGGCACATCGATAACAGCGTATGTGAGAGCTAGGGAAAGGTCTGGGAATTTGTCTCTGCGGTTATTGCCTTCCTTGTAAGTATGTTTCGCTTTGAAAAGAGGATTTTTTTTCTTGGGGAGGAGGATGTAGGGAGGGAAATGGAAGCTGTACAAGTTTGATCACTTAGGGGTTAT